AGGATGGAGGTGAGACTGACTGGCCTATAGTTGCCTGGGTCCTCCTTCCTCCCCTTCTTGAAAATGGGGACCACATTGGCCCTATTCTAGTCCTCCAGGACCTGGCCCGTGCACCACGAGTGTTCAAATATTCCCGCCAGTGGCTGGGGCATGGAGGCAGCCCGGGGCCTTCATGATGTCGGCCAGGGCCTTCAGCACCCTTGGATGGAGCTCATCCAGGCCTGCCGAATTAAAGGCATCCAGTTCCTCCAAGTGCCTCTGCACCATTTCAGGGTCTGCGCTTGGTAGCTGGCGCCCTGCTGCTGCCTCTCTACAATCCCAGTGAGGGCCTTGTCTTGCCCCTCGCTTAGCAACACTGAGGCAAAGAACTCATTGAGGAGTTCAGCCTTGTACCCCCGTCCGTCACCAATTGCTTATGCCCATTTAGTAGAGGTCCTATTCCACCCTGGGCCTTCCTTTTACTCCCTATATATCTGCTGCAGGCCTGTGCCGGACTCTTCCTGGGTGGCATAGACCCCCGGATCTGCGTGCAGGATGGCAGCAGGCTGCTGCTGCCGGCTGGGGTCAGTGGAAGGAAGAATGCCAAGCACCAGGAAGAACCCAATGATGGCGCTGGTTCCAGCTGGCAGTGGCAGCCTGCTGTCATCCCGTGTGCAAATCCTGGGCTCCACGCACCCTGGGAAGAGTCCGGCACAGGCCCCCATCCAACATTCCCCCAGCCCCCTGTTCGATTCCCCAGCTCTCTGATCATTTCCCCAGCTCTTCCTGGGGGGTGTGGGCCCCTGGATGTCCGCATTGGGTTTCAGCAGGCTGCCACTACAGTTTCAGCAGTAGCCTGCTGAAACCACGTGTGCAGATTGGGGGCCCACGCCCCCCTGGGAAGAGCTGGGGGAAGTGATCAGAGAGCTGGAAAATTGAACAGAGAGCTAGATGTCAATATTAGAGAGCAGTCCTTCCCGCCCCCCCCTTCCCCCTCCCTCCTCTCCTTAGTTTCTGTTTAGCTGCAACACGCCCAGCTTTGAAACTCGAAATGTTTCGAAACATTTCAAGTGCCCTTGTTTTGTTTTGAAGCTGTTTTGAACCCTTTTGTTTCATTTCAATGTTGCTGTTTTGAGCTTGAAACATGTTGAAACAGCTTTGAAATGAAATGCCTGTCAAAATTTCACACAGCTCTACCACATACCACATGGCTGCACATGTCTGGATGTGGCATGATCTTCTTCCACCCTGCCCAAGTCCCTGAAGAAACAGCTCAACAGGTAGATAGGTCCTCCTCTCACTTGCTGCTTTTTATGACTCAATCTTAAGGATAAGGTGATGGCATGTTACAAAAGTAGATGTGGTAACAGCTTTTCAGGAACTTGGATAGGATGGAGTAGTATTACACCTATGTGCTTAAGTCTGCTTAGGCCCATAAGAGGTGGTAAAGGATTTGGCTCTTAACATGTCCTGGTTACTGCTGTTTTTTCTGCAGGTATTTGAGTGAAAGTTAAACCGTGTCATTTTCATGAGGGACAGGTATTTAAACGGAAAAGACTTTGGTGGAATAGATGCTGTCGGCACTTTGATTACTCATTTGGAGAGTAACTGTGTGAGCAGCATGACTAGCTGTGGGCTGACCAACGCTTAAATTCAGAGAAATCTGGTGTCAAACATAAGTAATCTGATCTTGCCATGGAAGATTTGTCTGAGTAAGCTGCAGCCCTCTACTCCACTCTGGCAGACTCTTGCATGTGCAGGAGTCTAACTGAAAACAAGTGGGTCTCTGTGGCTGTGTGATCTGGTGCAGCACTGTTGCCTAAGGAGGGAAACCTCCCTGTCTGAAAGCATTAGAGTGATTCCCATTTGCAGTTAGATGTGAGAGTAGGAAAAAAAAAGGTTAGGTCCTCTTTCCCAGACCCCAGTCCAGCTTTCATTTTTTAGGTTTCATCATCCCTTGTATTTAAGAGATTGTAACAGTTACTTAGCACCATTTGCTTTGTAATTTTTGTTTTGTTTTGTTTTGGGTTTTTTGGCCAGAAAAATATCCCATTAAACCTATTAGATTTGACAGTTTCATTTGTTCTGGTATGTGTTTTCTTAACCACAGAATTGGAGTAGCATCTATTATTGCATAAATTATCAGTTTTTAGTGTTAGTCACTGTGTGCCTTCAAGGTTCCCAGGCAAAGAATGCCATTTTTTCCTTATTCCTTACTTCTAATATGTGTGTGAGCGTAAAACAGATTATTTTATGTAGCTTTACCAATTTGTGCACTTCTCTTACAGAAAAAAGTAATTGAAGAAATAAAGGCTAAGAGCTCATAGAAGGATTTTTAATGGAGACTTTATGGCATTTAAGCATTTTAAATAGTTTTTCCACTAGTATATTTAGACAGTTTAATTAGCTATGTTAACCATATATCTTTGCTCACCGGCTGTGTCTCCTGTTACATTTAGATAACCCTCCAGTGCCTTTAAGTCTATGATATTTTCTGTTAAAAACTATTCAATAAATGTACAGTTTTACCTTTTAAAGTAGTTGCTAATCATGCAAGGATCCCCAGAGAGAGAGAGATCTCTGTATCTGTCTATATCTGGGAATTGGCAGGATGCTGGGATCTCTGCATTTGTACTGTTCTGTTTGTACTATATACGTATATTCACACACTATATGTGATCCCATAGGAAATATACTATATTTATATTTCCTCTGGGAATAAATATATAAAATCAGGGAATTGGCAGGGTGCTGGAATCTCTGCATTTCTACAGTTTCTTAGTTCTGCTCAGGGACTGCCACCATCTCCCCAGGAAGAAAGAAGGAGCTCTTTTTCACTGCCCCTAGTTCAGGGGTGGGCAAAATATGACCTGTGGGATGAATCCAGCCCATCAGGCAATTCTATCTGGCCCGCAGGGCCTCTAAAAATGTTAGTAAATTAAAATTTATTTGCTCCTGGCTGCCATGCAAAGATGACAGGAACAACGGGCAGTAGGACCCAGGGGGAGCCAGCAGAACTGAACAGCCCAGCCCCACTCCCAGCCATTTTCCTGCCTTCCTGCCTCTGCACTGCTCCGACAAAACGTGGTCCCAGGCTGCATCACCGGACTGGGGAGCATGGGCTGCACCGGTACCCTGGGGCCAGGAGTGGGAGGGGTGTTTGTATAGGCAGGGGCAGTGCGTGCGTGCGTGTGTAGGCAGAGGCAGAGGGGGTGTCTATGCATGTGTGTGTAGGGCGAGTCCCACATGCACACCTTACCATACACATGTATCCAGTCCTTTTTTGCACTGCCATACACACAGACCCCTATGCACAACCCCCCACAAACCCCATACCCACCCACACCCCACCTATTTACACACACACCCACATGCTCCCTCACCCTATACCCACACCCCCACACCAGTCCACCCCTGCAGACACACCTACACCCTCCCCAACATACCCACACACCCACGGGCCCCCACAAACCTATACCCGCCCCCCACAACATATAAAAGTAAGACTTCGTTTTAAGCTATTGTGCAATCACCTCTATGTACACTACACAAACACTTGTAAATCAGGACAAAAATATTTTTGGAAATCAAATTAATAAATGTTGTAGATGTTTTCTTTTAGAATATAATTTGGTATTTTTCTGGTTCCAAGATGGCAAAACCCTTTGCTGAAAGGGATACTTCCGGGGGGCAAGGGGAGGGACTTCTGGTGGCAAACGTCAGGGGTTAGGGGGCAGGACTTCCAGTCACAAGATGGTGACCAGGAGACAGGGCACCTGTCAAGGGATGGGGTTACCCGTGCGGCCCGCGACAGCTTGCCAAAACTTGGTAAGCAGCCCTCCACCCAAAATAATTGCCCACCTCTGCCCTAGTTGATACTTGCCTGGGTCTTGTCACCTGTTTCCCTATTCCTCTGTACCTCTTCAGTTGCTGTTATGTTTTATGGGGATCTGCTCTATTATTCTGTCTTTCTACTTTTTTACTTGTTTCTTGGGTATAGCAGGATCCATGCCCACAAGTCCCTTCATGCTGGCACTGGATGAAAAGATTCTTACTGCTGATATGCATGCACAAGGGAATAAAAACGTTCAACATACACCACACTTACCTGTAGCTTTGCTTATCTAGATAAAATGTTTCCAGGGAGTGCCTCAGGAATTACAGGCTTTCACATCTCCATTTGTGGATAGTTGTGGGGGTGGACACATGATACTTGGTGCATGGATTTTTTTTTTTGACCCAGGTATTTAATGTTTTTCTGCTTAATTTCCACAGAGGGGATTTCGTTTCCGATATGTATGTGAAGGGCCATCACATGGTGGACTTCCTGGTGCTTCTAGTGAAAAGAACAAAAAATCGTACCCTCAAGTCAGGGTAAGTTTGCTAATTATTTAACAAGGTGACTGTAAATGTTGTACATGGAACTCTTATATAGAATGTGTTAGCACAGCTGGGGCCAAACTTTTTGGCAGGTGTGCCACGCGTTAGTCCAGCACTCTCCCTGAGTGCCATTCCAACACCCTTTCCCTGCCTCATGTGCTGCACTGCTTTCTGCTGCCTGTCCCCTCCCTGATTTGCTGGACACCACACACAGGTTGCCTGTGCCACTTGTTGCATGCATGCTGCAAGCTGGCCACCCCTGTGTTAGCACATTGGTGTAAACCTGTGGCTGACATAATAAGGTACTAGCTATTTTTCTGTGACTAAATGAAAATCCACCCTGTTAATTGAATTAAAATCTGCTGGATTATTTTATTCTTTCATACACTACACTAACCTTGCATGTTTAAACTGCTGAATATTTGAGAACAGAAATTATCAGAACTACTATTACTTTTTCCCAAGAAGGAAGAGGGAGAGTTTTTTTCAGATACTTGCTTGTGCTCACTCTTAGGGTGGTGGTTCAAAGCACATGATGTAGTTAATGCACCCAGTCTGAAAATTTTTAAAGTAAACACCATATTTTCTCAGATACAACAAGCCCTGCAAAATAATATGCACCTTGTTTTTTGCAAGGTGGAATGAAGAAAAAAGATCTTGTAGCAAGTAACTTGAGTAGGAACAGCTAGGGAGGCATGTCTGCTCATGGTTCTGCTCCCTGTGGATTGCTGTAGATTTTACTTTTGGTTTCAACAGTAAGCAGCAGAACCTGCATGTAGTGTATTTCTTGCATACAAAGCACAGTGATTTCCAGGACCTGATTTTTAGGGGAAAAGTTGGGTATTGTCTGAGAGAAAATATAGTACTTAAGTTAGACTCCTACAACTTTGTCCAAATAGTCAAATAGGTGGCCAGATTTTGAAACTGCATTTAGTGACACAGCTTATAAGCAACAGTATACAGTAACCAGTAACATTTTGCTGGGCAAAATATCAGCGTACAGTAACAGAAAAATTCCTAAAATACCAAGATGCCAAATATCATATAGTCATTTTTAATAAACACTTTGCCTTTATTTTTCCCCATATACTACTTTAGTAATCTTATTAATAAAAGTAAGAATTCTGTGTTTAACTGTTCTGAAACAAAAATCTTACGAGGTCCTTTCCAGCCCTAATCCATGTCTATGAAAATATATGTAAAGACTAAAGTTCTAATCTAGACATCACAGTTCAGTGTACATCTGCTGAACAGGACTGTGGAGCCAAGTTTTTCAAATTTGGGCACTTGAAGTTAGCCTCTTCAGTCCTTCAGTCCTTACATTGGTATCCTGATTTTTCAAGTGTTCAGTGTCAGCTGTTCCCACTGAAGTCATAGGAGGACTGACTTCTACTCTCTCAAGGTCTCTCTAGCCCCCTTTTCCAACTATGTGGTATGGAATGAAAAAGACACATAATAATGGAAAAAGCATTAAAGATGGGAGATACGCAAAGATGTGTCAAGCTTGAGCACCGGAGACAATAGTTGCAAAGTATCCTGAGCTCTGTAGAAGAATTTTGTGAGCTTGGTTATTGATCGTTTTAGTAGTGCCTCTGGGCCAACCCATTGTGGTTGGCACTCTGCAAATATAAAACCTTTTCTCGTGCAGTAAGCATTGGAGGCATAAGCAATAAATTATTTGGTGTAAGCAGTAGGGCCAGTTTAAAATGGAAGTTTTCTCTGTAGAAATATATTTTTTCATAGAGAAAAATAAAAGCTGGTTTTTTTTCCAGCTAAAAACTTTTTTTTCTTATTTTTCTGAGATTTCTAGTTATCTAGGAAAAAAACAGTTGTGAGATCAAACATTTTAATGACAGAGTTAATATGTAAAATATCGAATTCTCTGTCACCACATTCCAGTCAAAATTTTTCATTTTGCTCTACTAAGCAGCACATGCTATAACTGCAAGCCCAGAAAAAAATTGTCATATATAACACACAAGCCTAATAACTGCTCCTTTTTTAAGTGTCAGGTAGGACCAAATTCTGTTATAGGATATGTGTATCTTGTTTCCATGTGCGACAAACACATTCACTGGTTGTAGGACACCTGAGGGCAACATTTGGCCTATCCTGTTAAAAATATTCTGATTTTAAAATTGTTTGAGTAAGTAATCTCATAAGATAAGATCCTAACTCACATGACTGTCCATAGTGAGTTGTCCCTCACTGAGAGAGAGTTGCCATATTACATGACCTATAAACAATGCTGTATGGCTGTTCCTATCTTACTTTACTCCAGCCTGCCATTTGTCCATTTTTTTCCTTTTCTGTTCATGCTGATGCCTTCTATTCCAGCCCAATGTGGTGTCATCTTGCAGTTTCCCATTTTTTGCTGTTCAACTCCCATTATAATCAGTACAAAACACTCCTTTTCTTTTGGTTCAGGGCCATAATGTAGTATTACCTAAATAGTTTTGTCTTTACTGTATGGTCTCCTCAGCAGTCATTTTCCCTGCACAATGGGGAGAAAGCTATATACTGTCTGATTTGAACTTTGAGTTTATGAAGTAACCTCTAATTAAGTGATTTCCAGATTGCTCATGATAGTACAACTCACAAAAATCTGAGCATTGGTATTGTTATGTGTACTTTAAGAACTGTTGTATTAAAGATTTTCAAATAAAAAGCTATCAGAACTTGTGGTAGAGGTGATATTTTGTATTAGACCAACTAGATAGTTGCAAAAAAATTTCTTTGTCTGCAAGCTTTCAGGCACTTACCCTTCTTTAGGCATAGGAGAATGCAAAGATAGTAAAATTTCTCCTAGGTGGAAATGAAAATTCATATTTCACAGGAAAGTTGAAGGTATTGTAAGATCTAGGGGCTGGAAAAGTTAAATTTGTGCAAATCAGGATCAGATTAAAGAGCAGTCTGTTTACTTTGAAGGTGTCGGATGGCAAGCAGGATGTTGAATTATTTTTCCTTCTGGTTATGATGTTTCATATTTCACAGGCAGATGGGGTGATGGAAGGCTCTTCTGGGCAAGGAGTTTCTCTTTGGGTTGAGGCAACTGTGTGAACATGCAAATTTGGCTCCAAACAAAAGCCAAAAAGGAGCAAGGGTGTCAGCTTTCAGGTTTCCAGGCATAGGTGGCGGAAGTGGGGACTAATGTGGCTTAGCCACACCAAATGCCGGGCAGTGGTAGGGCCACAAGGCAGCCTGGCCACGGGCTTCCAGTGGCTGCAGCAGGGGTAGAGAGGGGTGTGCAGGCAGTGGTGAGGGAGGGAGCGGGGCTGGGAGGTGTGGCTCCCACCCCTGCAGCCCTTTCCCCTCCTCCCGCCCCTTCTGTCACAGACTTTCCCACCTGGGAAGGGAGGGGGGGCACATGTGCATGTGTATACACTCAGGCCCCCCAAATTTTTTTTCTTCCTCCACCTATGTTTCCAGGTGTTGAATTTTGCTTCCTTGTTGTAAAATTATGAAGTTTTCATTTCAAAATTTTCAAATGAAAAGGAAGAATTAACAGGCTCTAGCTCATGAGTTCTTTACTCTTCCCTATCCTGTCTTTTAAAGCTGAGCCCCTGTGCTGGGATCTACAGCGTACCACTGTACTGCTTACATTAGTTACTTGTGCTTTTTCCTTCCATGGCTCTTGGGAAAGACTATGATTTAGAACAGATTTATCTCCATCATTAATTTGTGTGAGTATGAGTCAATGGAAAGTACTCAGTACTGGCTGGTATAGCCCGAGGTGTTAGTCTGATAAACAGAGATTCATCTGGGAAGCATTGATTTAACTTAGCCTGGCAAAACTATTATGAAAAATTACCAGCCCCGGCAAAAAAAATCTAATTGCGTTCCCTTTCCCCACTGGTGGTGATAATGAAACGATGAACAATATTTGACTTTAAAGATTTAAATTTAAGATTTAAATATAAAATTACTTATCCCTATTCAGTAGGATCTTTGAATGCTAATCCAGTGTCTCTCCTTAATTATTATGAATAAAATGGCTGAACAGACTGGTGAGGTCTGTGGTAATATCGTAGATAGAGTAGGCAATGTGGAGCATGGAAGCAAACAGGTGGGAAACAAAATGCAAGGTAATCGATGCAACTAAGCAAATCTCCTTTTTTTTTTTACTGAACATAACATTTTAATTTAATCTAGACTCTCACCCTTCCCCTTGTCTCTTTCATTGTTTGCCTTCGAATATTTTCTAGTACAAATCCCAACATGGCAACATTTTGTAGGAGAAGCTGGCAAAGGATCATGAGTGAGGTTCCTTAAGCTCCTTGCCTGTTAATGCCTGTTCTTGTTTCAAGCAGTGCCAATAAAGGCAAAGTGTTTCTCACATTTTCCTGTAAGCCTCCCTTATGTTTTGTCAGAGGCTGCTTTCCTTGGCACAACAAAGCTGAACCTGGTTGAAGGTTTTGGAACAGTTGTTCCCGCTTTATATCTTGTTCATTTACATAAAAGACCCTGCTTTTTTACTTAGCCACTTGATGATGGTACATTTGAAGGATGGTAGTTTAACCTAGAATTATAAAAAGGTGTATTTTGTGAATTCTCTGTGCCAAATTGTGAGTTGAGGTTGATTAGTGATCAATGCAGCTTGAGATGGAGAGGGGTGGGAACACATTTGCTTTTATTGGACTGTTGGCCTGTTTAGGACTATACAGTCTTGAAGGCTACTCTCTCCTTTGACTACCAGTAACCCCTTCCCTGGACACTGCAACAGCCAGAGATTCCTAGGGCATAGGGTGACACTTCTGCAGCTCTTCCACTTCTCCTCCCTTCATAGATTTGACAGCCATTAGGAACCATTATATTAATCTGGTCTGGCCTTCTTTATAAAAAATATCATAGAACTTCATCCTTGAACCCTGAATTGAAACTATTACTTTCAGTTGAGCTGGTGCAGTTTTAATATAGCTTCACATATCAGGAAGGATTTACACTTACTGCAACAGTGCACCCAGAAATCAGTAATGTGTATACCATAATAAAGA